CCTCGGATGGGGGAGAAGAGTAAATATAGTACAAAGTAAAAACTGAGCGAATACATTTTTTTATTGAATAAGAGAGTAGGCTTTTAAATAGCCTTACATCAACTAAAATAAAAAATAAAATAAAAAACCCACAGGCAAACTCTACAAACGTGATAAGTTGCAGCAAAGGAGGGGGTCAAAAAGTCCTTTTGGATATACAAGTTTGTAAGTGTTTTTAAAAGTTTTTCCGTCAAAAAATACTCTTTATTTCGGATAGAGAAACTCCCAAAAGATTCTAACTTGTATCCAAATTAACTCGGTAAATAACTGAAACATATTGATGTTATCCTATCTAAATATCTGAAACAAAAACGAACCAACTTTAACATCCTCCCTTAAACTAAATGCTACCAGTACTAGCAATCAGTTTACTTTTGGCGTTGAACACACTCCCAGCATGTTTGCGCAACTTCACAAATGCATCAAACTTCAAAGGATTTGTCTTTCCACTAAACAATCTTTACAAATCTTGGAGGCAGTTGAGTTGTGGCAGGCCATGCACCATCCCTTTTTGCTCAAAAGTTTTCAAGCCTTTAAAACCCAAATGTCCATATCTGCCATAACTGAGTTAAGTCTTCAATGATTGTTTTGAAACAAGTTGACATGTCTAATTGAGTCCTAACAGGTAGAAAGTAGAAAGAACATTCTTTTTTAGAACATTGTTGTTTCTATGATCAAGCCTTTCTTCTTATGATAGCTCTTGCATTTTACATGCTGAAATGTGTTAAATAGCCTTACATCAAGTGAAGCAGAAGAAGAAAAACCACGTAATAAACTCTACAAGCATGGTAAATTACAGCAAAGGAATGAATCAAATTAAATAACTGAAACATATTGATCTTATCCTATCTAAATAACTAAAACATAAAAACAAGCAACCTTTAACATACTTTGTAGAATAGTAAAATATTTGATATGAAAATACTTTCTAAAATAGTATGTTTACATAAAAGTTGTATTAAAAAATCACAAATTAAAAAGAAAATAGATGTAAAGAGTTTAAAGAAGGATGAAGATGAGGAGTTTCAAAAATAATTTTAAAAATGATATAAATAGAGTACAAAAATAGAATTTTAAAAAATAATGAAGATGGAGTGCAAGTATTTTACTTGTTGGAGAGAAGAACCGAAAAAGAAGTAGCAGAAAAAAGAGAGAGAAAATTTAGGTAACGGAGAAAAAGAGGGTAGTAAGACAAGCGACAAAGTATTTTTCTTAAAAAAAAAAATAGTATATGAAAAGGAGGGATAAATTTGAAGGGTGCCTAGAGAATTTTATTTATAAAAAAGGTGTATATTGAATTTGTATAAAATAATTTCCACCGATAGTAAATAGTTAATATAATTATTTTATAATTTTAATCACATTAATTAGTTGAAATAAAAAAAAAATTTAACGGTGAACTCTTGGCAAAACTATAAATTAAGTTATCAGCTATTACAAAATCTAGCGCAATCAATTATTGTTATAAATTTATAATTGTCACAAAATTCACATCCAAAGCTAGGTAGGAATGGATACAATTTTTTTAACAGATTTAAATTGTTAAAAATAAAAGCAGAAATACATAATTCATGTAAAATTGAAGAGAAGACTTACCAATAAATTGTTTTCTTGTAAACTTAGCTTTCTCAAGCAGCTTCATTCCACACTTAATCAAAACAGGATTTTGAAATTGCACTTGCATACACACAAGTTCTTACATATTGTCATAAATAATTTATTGAACAAAAATATTTTTATTTTATCTGACATAAATTTCATTTTTGTGAAAGTATGATAAAAATTATTCAGAAAGTTCATTAATTTATACTTTCTAAAGGATAAATCTGGTCGTTCTGAAAAACATATTAGAAAGACTAATATCTTATGTTTCTTTTAAGTAAATATCTAATTCTGTAATACATTTTATGCAAGATATGATTGAGTTACTGAAATTAAAAAAAAAATTACTACTTTCTAAACCTGCTAAGCTTCCACAAATAACTTCCTCAACAACAAGTTCATTTCCTAGCTTGAGAAAAAGGCTAATTGACCAATTTGGGGCACTTTGCAAAGTTATTTACGTAAATGGGATTGTTTTTAAACTATGTACACCTTTGGGATGGTTTTTAAGGGTGTCGCTATGGCTCATAGCGACACCCGTGACACGTGGAATTTTTGAATTTCAGGAAAGTCATGAAAGTCATATTTATAATGCCGCTATAGCTTATAACGACACAAAACGGCTTCAATGAAGTCGCTATAGCCTACAACGTTACATTTTTAATATAATTTTTTTTAAAAAAAAATGAATTTGTAAAAGTGGCACTATGGCCTATAGCGACACGATGTCATTATAGGCCATAGCGCCACTATTTTAAAAATTAAAAATACATAAAAATAAAATATATATATATATATAAATATAATAAGGAAATTAGAAAGAAAATAACAAAAAAAATATAAATTTATTACATTCTTAATATAAATTAAAATGTGGAAAAAACAAATTAAGTAAATAATTTTAAAAAAAAGTTAAAATTAGTGGCGCTATGGCCTATAGCGACACAGTGGCGCTATAGGCCATAGTGATAATATAAATTAAAATGTGGAAAAAACAAATTAAGTAAATAATTTTTAAAAAAAACGTTAAAATTAGTGGCGTTATAGTCTATAGCGACATAGTGGCGCTATAGGTCATAGCGTCACTTTCATAAATATTAAAATACTTAAAACGAAAAACAAAATATATATAAAATAAATGATAAAATAAATTGAAAGAAAAAAATGTTAAAAAAACGCAGAAGAAAAAATAACAAATTGTAAAATTAATTTATCCAAGAAAAAATTGTAAAATAAATATGAAAAAAAAAATTTTAAAAAGGAGATCTAGGCCATAGCGACACTGCCTGGGATATTTTTGGCTGCGTTTGTCTTTTCGCACCAGTTCACAATGCTTAATTTGAATTATGCTTTTCAAAATCAGAAGTAAATACTATCTAGCATTGGAAAACGTTAAAATGGAACCAAGACAAAGCCTTTTGTAGGAAAAGGTAACACCTAATTGCAAATGTAAAATAAGGTTTCATGTATGAAATTTTCACTAACTGACTTCTTGTCACAAAAACAAAAGGCAGAAAAAAAGTTGGGTCTTTCAAAGATAAAACATATACTCGTTTCTTTTTTCTACGTTTTTTTCATATTTTTTTCCTTCATTATTTTTTTCCTTTTAATATTTATCTTTTTTTTTTAATATTTTCTAGATTTTTTTTTAATATTTATCCTTCACTAGAGTCGCTATGGGCGATAGTGACTTTGTGTCACTATGGGCCATAGCGACCTTATTTTTTTTAATTTTTTTTCCTCAATATATATATTTTACCTATTATTTCTTACAAAAATTTATTTTTTAATTCTTTTTTATTTCTTCTACGTTTTTTTAACATTTTTAAAATACATTTTTTTAATAACAAAATTTATATTATATAAAAGAAAATTGTATTTTTAAAATATGGAAGGAGCCCATAGCGACATTAGTAAAATCGCTGCAGCTTGTAGCGACTTCTACTAGCTAAATTTAAGCCGTTTGTAGTTACCAAAAAAAAATTTACACGTGACATTAGTGTCGCTATGGGCCATAGCGACACTGTAGTAAACTATCCCAAAAGTGTAAATAGTTTCAAAACAGCCCCATTTACGTAATTAGTTTTAAAAACTACCCCAAATTGACCAATCAGCCCGAGAAAAAAGCCCATAGCGTCATCAAAGTTACATGTCGGACAAGATTTTAAAAAAAGTCCCAAATTAATCCTTTTCTTTTGCCTTAACTCATCACTTCAATACCTAGTTTCAAGAAACTATTTATAACATTTTTTAAGGCTCCATTTGGGATAGTTGCGAGTTTTTTTTTTAAATGTAATTTTCAAAACAAAAATATGTTTTGGCTAAAACAGAATTGAAATGATTTTTAGCCTAAATTCAAAAATCAAAACATTTTTCGGTCATTTTCAAAACAACAAATAAATTGTGAATTCATTGTTAGATATTCTTAAACTAATTTTAATTGGATAAGAAATTCTTAAAATCAGATTATTTTGAAACTAAAAATTAGGGGGATAAAACTAAATTTTTAAAAGATTATGAACTAATTTTTAAAAATAAAAGCTGGTCATAGTTTTCAAAAGAAATTGAAACTTACAGCGAAATACCACTTAAAAGGTCCCAGAGTATGTCAAGAAAAAGTTATAATAGTTGTTTAAATAATTAAAAGTAGTAACTTTTAATTTAATCATTTAGTAATTGTAACATTTTTTAAGTATTTAAAATTTCAGGAAAGAATTTATAATAATTCTTAAATATTTAAAATTAATAAATTTAACATTACTTATTTAAATCCAAAATAAGCAACAACAAAAAAATACCTCAAGAGTAGAGCCAAATTTACTTTTATATAAATAAAAATAGAATCTTTTAATAAAATAAGCAATCCCTCCAAGTACTTACATAAACAACTATATACCCATGTTAGCATTTACAATTAGGCTAGCATCTCTTTGAGCTCCATGTTAATACTCTACAAAAAAAAAAAAAAAAATAAACCATATTACTACTGTACAATCCTATTAGCATCTATTCGTTCTCCATGTTAATACTCAATAAATTACAACTACGTCAGTATCCTTATTAAATATAGTGAAAATCAAACTAACGAAAGGACTCACTTCTGATAAATTCCTTCTAACATGTTTCAATCATTTTCTTTTATGAAACAAGTATAGAAAACCTTCCCTTACTTTGGCAAGTAGCTTAATTAAATTAATGGGAAAAGACTTTGATGCAAAAAATATCTTACAAGTGTTTATCATTTACCCGTTCACACTGATAGAAATTTTGTAAATTCTTCTGTTTCTTCTAAATTAGAGGCATCAGCCCACCTTAGATTTATATACAAAAGAAATATTGGATAGAAAACAATTAAGAGATTGTAAGATTCTATTCTGTATCTCGATATCATTGATGTGATTTTTCAGTGCTGCGAGAATCGCAACCAAAATGTGAACCAGGACATTCCCAAAAAAATACAGCCTTCCAAAATAGTCATATCAACAAGCTCTAAAATTTAAAAATAAATTTTTAATTTCCCTTTTTTTGTAAAATTGACCAAAAACAGCATAAACTTTATCATGTAGAATCAAACCCTCATGAAAGAAAAGAAACGGGTCAAAATACCCCAAAAGATGCAATGGCCCAAAAGATGCAATGGCCCAGCACCTTCCACTGCTGACAAAATAGCCCCTACCCTACCAACCAACCCTATATAACCTTTAACCAAAAAACCAAAAAGGAAGGAAAATTTTTCCCCTGTTATGCAGGCAGGATTGAGGCACCTGTAACTTATTGCAATATTTGCAAAATGCAGGGTTCCAATCAAAACCCACCCCTCTTCTTTCACTCTCAAATCATTGGCCTTCAGAACAAAAGGAATGGAACTAGTCATCTGCCATCAAAAATTGAAACTTGGATCTAACTATGATTAAAGAAACAGTACATCAAGCTTCAGATCCGGGATCAGAAGAGCTCAACTCAGCAGAAGATCCACGCAAGTTAGATGCATAAGATTCGAACAACTTGGACAGCTTTGGCTGCATGCCCTGGCATAGCTTGAATGTAGTTGGGTCCAATTTCTTGCACTGGAAAACAAAAGCCAAAGAAAAATAAGTAGGCAAACCCCATTTGGTCGCAACAAGTTGCATTAAAGGTAATTTGGTACGGCAAGAAAAATCACTGATGGAAGAAGAGTTTACATAAGCATGTAATTTGGACAAACCAACCACAACATAAAATCTTAAGCATTGCTTGACAGAATGGTACTTAATGGTACCTTCGAACCCATTTCATTAAACAAAAGCAAGGCATTTTAACTTCACAAAGATCAAATTCACTAAATCATCACATTGATGCATGAAAAAACTAAGCAAGTTTAAATTGTAATTATGATCGATACAAAACTAGAATAAGATAAGAGATTATCACCTCCTGATAGAAAGCATTGATTTCCTCTTCTGTAAGGCCTTCATCCTCATCTGTGTTCTCCTCCCAGCCCAGAGAACGAAGGAATGCAGCTTCTTCCTCGTCTGGATATATTGTAGCACTGGGAATTGATTCTTTCTCTTCATTATCAGAATGTCTGTGAACCTCTTCATGAGCATGGGCATTGCCATTGCTAGTCAGTTCAGTACCATTTCCAAGAGACTGAGGACTGGCAGGAGGGCTAACTATTACCCTATTTACTTCATCAGATTTCTCCATAGTCGGAGGTGAAACCATCGAGCCAGAATCTGGAAGAACTACAGAGGAGTTCATCAATGTTTTCTTCTTAATGAGATTGAAGAAATCATTCCGGCTCTGCACTTGAGAGATTGAATGTTTCTTATCCAAAGCCGAACCTAATTTCAGATCCAAAGATGCAGCCTTCCGCTCTGTGGGGGATTTTAGGTTATTAGGGTTCCTCAAAGGTGCAGAAGCAGCTCCAGAAGCAACAGCATGTTGACTTCCTGGTTTGCTGTTAGAATAATTCGTTGGATTTGATACATCCTTGGAGGTAGGGGAAGCGCCATTTTCCCACACTACTGATTTAAGATCAGTAAACTTTCCAGATGTCTTTGGAGCATCAACTTTGGCATTTACACTGCGAACAGATTGGCTTGCTACGTGCAATGCAGAAGGTTGCTGTGCCACACTCTTGGTAACTACATTCATCTCGGCATTTCTGATACCTGTTTTGGGCTTTGATTTCTCAGAACTAAGAACCTGAAAAAAAATATTACAATAAATCATCAAAGACTTTAAGAGAAAAGAAAATAACAATTTTTTAATCCTCTATCGAATACAAGAAAGTAATATACACATTATCCTAGAAAATATAAACTTCAAAATTTTGGGAAGTAGGCCTATAACAAGGAATCATATCATATCCATGTCTAATCAATCATAAACTTTTAAATCTCCTTAGATTTCCATATATACATGGAAACAAATTGAGCATTATACAATCAAAACCACCTCCAATTGTAATGAAACATTAATACCAAACCTGCATACATATCATAACACCATCCACACAATCAATTTTAAGTATTCTCTAAAGAAAACACAAATTTCATGTATAATAGAGACATCCACAAACCCATCAATGGTGGAGAAATTAGAGTAAGCATGGAAAGGTAGTAAAAGTGAAATGAAATACTTGTCAATGAGTCCAGTGTGCAAGGAGCATACAAATATCACTAATAAATAACCATTTTTATGCTAGTACATAACAAAACTCATTCATACTTAACTCGAATAGATACCAACATCTTTACAAATTTTGGTGAGGATAGAAAGACTGTAGTTCATACAGCAATTAATCAGACTTCAAATGAGAGTTGTCTAGACTCTAGATATCTGCATATAAATTATACAACAACAACAACAAAAAAGACTTTATCCCGCTAAGTAACATCAGCTACATGGATCACATGTCGTCATTCGGCTCAGTTAGAAGGAGGTAAACTAGAGCCTGAGAGAGGATAATAACAAACTAGGGGCTTTCACAGATACCACTCGTAATAAATTCAGCCATTGCATAACGAGTAAAACAAAATCAGTAAGTGAATCACTAATTCCTGTTAGAATTTCACATGCATAACCAAGAATAAGCACTATCAAATACTCATTGAAATAAGCCAAGAAAAAAAATGAAGTGAAGCATTTATTCAATACTTATGTTTGTCATTCCTTTTATTTCACTGAAATATAAACGTAGCCTCAAAATAATAGCTATCACACAGGTCAGAGGAATAAATGTAAAAACTATTCTAGAAATTCGATTTGCTATAATATTAAACTTAAAACAGTAAAGTGACATGATTGCAAGAACTAGTTTGTAATCAATCACTACAACATCAGGCCATCACTAAATGAGACAACAAAACATGGTACAAAATGACTTTAAAAAAAAACCATTTTGTTTATATGATGTCTTATGACTATATATCTGTATAAAGATAATATATCTAGCCATCATTAAATGACACAGATAATACCTGGAACAAAAAAGAAAAAATAAAGGTTACCCACTCATTTCATCAATATTTATTCCTAAATGCTAAATCTGATAATATATAGCCCAGAACACCACAACTCAACCATTAAAAGCATTAAGCCTTCCAGGTCATTCAAAAACAAGGATATATATTAACTGTATGAAATAAAATTCTGCTATGCAATCTAAAACAGAATAAAGTTTGTAAAAACGAACTATAAACAGTATTTCATAAGGTAACACTTACCGAAGCTTTAGGCATTGAGGGTGTTACTGGAATCAACTGTCTTGACTGCTTGATAGCCAGTTCCTCAAGCCTTTGAGTCTTGACCAGCACCTACAATTGATTAGGGCCTCATTAATTGATCATGGACATAAATAAAATCATTATAATTGAATGAATAAAGAAGCTAGTGACAGTGTCAACTAGCTCAAGTACCTGGGGAGCAGAACGAGCTCGGGATGGAGTCTGTGCCAAAGCCTCAGCCATATTAAGACCAGCTGTAGTACTTGATGCTACAGACCCAGAAGTTGTATTAACAGTTTGTTGCACTGGTAGAGATCCAGTACTGCTGCTCCCAATTATAGTAGGTACCTCTGCTAGTGCAGATGTCCATCCCTCCCCTCCAATCAAAGCTGAACTACCAACAGGCAGACTCTGACTAGCAGCACCACCCAAACCAGGAGATGAAACCCTCACAACTTCAGCTATTCCCTGCTTCTCTTCAGTACCAAGTGATGGAAAATCCTTGTCAAATACAGCTTTCTGAATGCTACTACTTACATTACTCCCAGAAAGTATGCCATTGCTATTGTTCTGATGGTGGCTACTGCCACCAGATTTACTATCAACTGCAGCTCTACGGGGTATAACCTCACTCTGTTTCCTGGAAACCATTGAATGAGAACGCCGCAATGTATCCCTTTCCATCCTTCCAGGAAAGAGGTTGGCCAATGGGTCAGAACCATCACAATCCCAGTGATCTGCAAAATTAGATCTATCTTTCTCTCTGTCACGGTCCTTGTCACGATGACTTCGGTTGAAACTACTGTAGGCATGCTTGGCAGAACCATTTATAGAACTCCTCCGGGAATTTGATGAGGATGTCCGTTCCAGAAACACAGAACGAGCACTATCAAAATCACTAGCATTCTTAGAAGATCTATTCCTTGAATGATGCGTTACAGAAGTAGAATCTACACAACAATGTCAAAACAGTTATTATTTTTCCCCTTTTCAATTGATAAAACAGTTAAAAAAAAAAACAAAAAACTTAGTACCCAAGGCTTTTGATACAATTCAAAAGATTGATAATGGAAAGCAAAGTCAAAGATAATTGATAAAACAGTTCATTTTGGGACTTAAAGAAAAAAGGCCTTTAAGATGGGAGGCACGTGAGTCGGTTACTGATACTGCAGGATCATTTATTATTTGGTTATTTTACATTCCGTTACACATTTAACGGCTGTCTTTAGTGAATCACTTGCGGCGTGGATAATAGTAAAAGGTCTTGGATGTATTTAGTATTAATAGAGAAGCTGTGCATTTTAGTACTAAAAGGTCTTGGATGTATTCGGTATTAATATAGGAGGGCATGGTTTTAGTAGTAAAAGGTCTTGGACATATTCGGTAATAATAGAGGAGGGCATGCATTTTCTGGACAAAGAATATACTAGTAATTTAATGGTGATAGGAATACACACTCATTTTTTATGTAACATATATGCTCTGGTGATCTCTTTTATCAATTTATGTCTCTGATTTTCCAGAATCAATTTTAAACTGCAGTCACTGTCGCAGATTTATTGAAATCCTTGACATTGCAGTAAATTACAGACAATGCAAACACAATTGCGGTTGCAAAGAGTCCAAAATCTTTGATTGTTACAGTCAAATTCGCAATCGCTAACCATTTTTTAAACCTTGCTAATTAGCCACTTTTTCTCACATATACAAATATGCAAATAAGAAATAAGATTCTTAAATGAGATAACATAAAATTATGATTTAAATAAAACACAGGCATTAAAACTTGCAAATAATTAAGACAGGACATCGAAATTACCGGCGTTACTAGATGGGGAGGCAAAATGTTGGGCTGAACTTCCAGCCCCAGCAACACTTCCAGCACTTCTCAACCATTCTGGAACTAATGCAGGTTCACTTCTGTCCATAACTAGCACTGAACATCATCAAAAGAAAAAATCTACACACGCCTCTCTACCAACTCCACCCCCAAGTAGCACAATCACACTTATCACTCTTCTACAACCCAACCTAATCTATAACACAAAATCACCCCCAAACATAAAGAAATCCAGCACTCCCACAGTGAAATTCAATCACTCCACAATTCACTACCCTCCAACACAGTAATCAAAACAACCCAACCCCTTCTGCTGTTTAATCAACAAATTCTATGACAAATTCAAGACCCGCAGCCGTAACTGCTCCAAAATAAAAAGCTATTTCCCCCTACCAATGTTGCCAAGGACGAGCTTCTCTAAGCTACGCCTCCATCGCCATCCAAAATAAGTTTTCCCACTAAACCACTCAAAGATTTTTCATCTCTCTAACAGAATTCAATAAACCTCCAATTGGAAAAATCGAAGCCGAACTATGGCAACAATGGCAGAACTCAAGGCATTGCGAACTCATCCATAGCACCGAGATGGAAAATAAAAAGGGCAACGACATATACTACTCAGTGAGGAGAGCGGAGAAAATAGGTTATGAAAAAAATCAGAAAACCAAAGAGAATAAAAACAAACGTGATTAATCGATGGGTTGGGAAAAAGCTCCACCGGAACCTAGGGTTACAGAGGGAAGAAACGTCGACGTTTGATTCCGGATACGGAAAAAAACGAGACACGAAAAGGGAACTAACCCTAGAGGCGAGGCAGTGATTGGTGATGAGAAGGAAACGTCGACGTTTGGATAATAACCGCCAGGGGTTATCGGCGAATGCGAAAAGCGAGAAGAAAGAGAAAGAGTTGCGTTTGGTTTGGAGTTGGGGAATGAATGAATGAGCAAAGAACGAAAGGGAATGGAATGGGAGAAGGTGCGAGAGTGAGTGAAATAGGAAATAGGGTTTTGTTTTGTTTGTGTAGTGCGATGTGTGTGTTTGTGTGAAATTGAGAGGAGGCGAGAGAGACAATGTATAATTTTCTGTTAGTTTCGGATACTCAGAAGCAAACGTATGTTTTATGACGAACACTCTCTCTCTCTCTCTAAATTATAATTAACAAAATTAAGTTAATTTAGCGTACTAGTTAAGTATTGTGTACACACTCCTAATTCGAACCCTAATATTGCTAATATATTTATGGTGAATAAAAAATTAATATATTTTTTGAGAGGAAAAAAAAAATAATTAATATTTAGTGTGTGCCCATTTTCTTTTCATGTGTTTTATTTTTGTTACGTTTCCTTTCACGGCCTCAAATTTTTGTGTGTATATGTTGTTACGACTTTATTTAAATAAATATTAAAAAAAATCATGGAACTGTAGGGTTTTTAATTTTTGTCACTTTTTAGTTGTTTTTTTTATTTTATTTGTGATTTGTGATCGCGATATATCTTTTTTCCGCTATCGATTCTTGACCAATGACCATAACCACTTCCACCGGGGTGACAATCTAAGTCTTCCGATTCAATCACCCACGCATTTATATTACAGTTACAGGGAGAAGATTTCTGGAACAAGATTTTCAGGATAAGGTTATCAATTTTTTTAAAAAAAAAAATTGATTGTGATGGTATTTTTCTGTTTCAATTTCAAATAAATTGTTCCAGCGGTATATTTGTTGTGGATTGTGTACATAAATAAACGGATTAGCACTTTTGAAATTCAACTTTGGATTGATGATTTGTTATTTGTTTATCAAGCTGGGCAGTTTCAATAACACAGTGAAATTAGTGGATTTTATTTTACTTTATGATCGGATGAAAATAAATTAGGTTAAATTTTAAATATAGATCAAATTTATTTTATAAATTTAAATTTATTATTTATTATATGCTTTTTTAATAAAAATGGTATAACTTTTTAAAAAATTTGATCTAGTTTATTAGTATATTTAAAATTTTACTTTATGTCAATAATATTAAATAGGTCAATAAATATTATTTTAAATATGTCAACAATTATAATTTTAAATATGTAGTCTTTTTTAATTTATATGATAAAAAATAATTTACACGGTTATTATTAAAGTTTAGAGTTGAAAATAAAAATTAAAAAAATAATTAACTTAAAAGAGATAACTCATGCATACACATGTGTATGTATACCCACGTACATTCATACACATGTTGTAATGAAAGAAAATAGCATTATCTAAAAAATATTATAAGTACTTCTTATATCTTATTTGAATTGTTTTAAATAATCAACAATGAAGAAGAAGGAAAGAGCTAGTGAAGATACTACTAAAGTTTCTATTTTTTTTTTTTTGATTTTGTTCAAATAAAGAATGTAAAATAAGTGTAGTAAAAATGTCAAAAATATTAATATTTTGATTTTTGTATTATAAATTTATTTATTTATTTATATTGTTAATGATATAATATGTATATTTTTTTTATTATTATATCATATAGATAAATAAGATCATATAACAATCTTTCTTTTTATAAGTTTAAGTCTAACCTTTTTAAATAAATAGATTTTTTAAAAATGTAAACTTGACATTTTTATTAAATAAGATACGGCAGGTCAAACTTTTAATAGACCACATCATATGTTCCTATTTAAAATTTGACTAATTTTCGTCCCTGGTTCTATATGGTTAAATGTGGTTTGATCGGGTAAATGTGCAATAAAAAGATTAAATTAATGAGAAGTATCTTTTGTCTTACTCTTATTTTTTAAATTTGACATTCATTCAATGCAATGTGTGACCTAGATCATGTAAGGCGGGTTGATTCCATAAGGGTCTCTAACTCCTCGGTGTTAGGTGTGGGAGCATCCACATCAAGTGCAAAATCAGGCAAAGAGGTCTCTGCCCTCTCCATGCTAAGTGTGGGTACTACCACACCAAACATGAAACTAGTATGGAGAATTAACTAATTTTATACAAATAATTTGATAATGGAGAAACCTATGAAGAGTGATTAGTGTTAGAGTTAAAAGAAATGAATAAAGAAGTTAGTGATTGTGGTAAAAGTATATGAAAAGAGAAAGCTAAGAAGAAACTGTAAGTGTGTGATATTAAGTGTATGAGATAATGTTATGTGAATGAATAATGAGAATGCATAGTAATGATGTATGTGTATGAGATGGTATTGATGATAATGTGTGAATGAAATGATGTTAATATTAACATGATGTATGAGACAATGTATGTTGAGGTAATATCATGATGGCATATGATGATGAGTTATGGTGATGAGGTGTGATATTGTTTAAGTGTGTAAGTTCAAGTTATGGCTGGCAATGATGAGATCCAAGCAGGGCTTGGTGTGTTGTGGATGAGTCAGGGGTTGAAATCTAACAAGTATCACCAACTTGCATTGCATATCTTGTTTTGTGATATAGTTTGTGGAGTTCATGCATTTATGTTTTGTTCGTAAAGTAGTGTGAATCTATGTAGGAGGATTTTGAAGGTCATCTACCTAAACCTAAACCTAAACCTAGGGGTGTTATGGTACAGAGCTTCTAACATGGGTATGAGGTAATCACAGTCAACTATAATGTTTTGACTAAGTTTTGATAGACATCTCCTAGTTGAGAGTTGATTAGGGGTGGCCTAGTGTGTGGTGATTATATGTCATGGTTCTTAGGTTGCCTTGATTTAGTGATGATGAAGAGATTGGTACCACATGCATATGAGTCAAATACATGTATTTACATGAGTCTTATTTTATAATTAAGATATCTTGAGTGGAATGATTGGTTGTTGTTGATGATAGGTACATGTGATGTGATTGATATCTTAATGTGAATATGCCTTGAGATGAGCACATGAATGTACTGGTATGGATGATGTTAAAGCTATGGTATACTTTATTAGTTCTATCATATACCTTATATATGTTATACATGGATGAGATGTATCCATACTCCTCGTGTTTGTTGTTGTGTGTTTGGGTTGATCACTACTTGCAGGATTAGATCAAATATACGAAAAGGAGTTTGATGGAGGCGAAGCTTAGAGTTTCCTTAGTTATTTTGACTTTTTCTCTAATAATGTAACATCGGGGCAGAGAATTCATGTTTTTGCATTTGTAGTTAGAATTGATTCTATTTTATGATGTTCTCAATTTTCCATTAGACTTATGTAATCAGACAATTTCTGCCTTGTTATGAACTATGTTGAGTTTTGTTTATGGTTTGGTTAAAGAGTTTTTAAAAGTTTTATTAGAAGTTTTGGGAATTGTTTTACTAAAAAGTTAAGTTTAAACATGTTTTTATAGTGTTTTTAATATTAATTATTTTAACTCGTAAAATCTTTATTTATTATACTTTGGGATAAAAGAATGTGATAACAGTCACTGGTGAGGCTATATAAGAGCTAAAAGGTAAGATAAGAAATCAATAGCTATATTTCTTCCCAAGTAAGCAAATTTTCAAGGACAAAAATTATTGTTATTAGGGAGAATTGTAACATTGTGTTCTTAAAAGGTTTGAAGAGAAGGCATGCTTAGTAGGCACCATTATCTTAAGAAAAAATTGACAGTACTAGAAAAGGAAAGTACAATGAGGTTAACTTTGCTTAAAAAGTAAGCAAGTCATAACATATATATTTCAATGGCTATAAAAGGAAGACTAAAGCTACAATTTTGAAGCAATTAAGATAAAAGAAAGTAATCAAAACAAAAGCTATCAAAGTTTCAATCTTTGCTTCATACTCTGATTATTCAAAGATCTCCACTTTAGTATTTGTATCAATATTATAATAGATAAACAAAATATGAATCTTTCTTAGTGGAAGCTCCAACTTAGGAGAACTTGTTGTAATCTTAGCAAAGAGATAGGATACAAAATCCATTTCTATAAGTAGTCTTTCCTACCCAAATCTAAGTTGTAAAGGTGTAGGAAGGAAGAAAATAATCCAACGGTGGTTGTGTATCTCATAGCATGTGGTTATGAGATTAGTTTTCTTAACATTTTGTAGAGTGTGAAATCTCAGTAGGTGACTGAGTGTGTATCACTAAAAGCAAATGGTTGTGTAGTGTGTGATTGTATTAACAAATGGTTGAGTTGTTCTTGAACAACAATTGGTTGTGATATTGAAAATCTTACAAGTTTGTGTGGGGACTGAATATAGCCCAATTGTGGTGAACTAGTCTAAAATTCTATGTGAAATTTCTCTAACACTATCTCTTACTTGCTTCATTTACTTTACTACATCTTATATTATATTACTGCATAGTCTTCTATGAAACAAGCTTGTTTAGAAACTATTTATAAAATAATACTCTAAGTTTAAATACTTGAAAGTTTATCTTCCAAAGGACACATTTTCATAAAAAAAATGATTTTTAAAGAACACAGCAATTCAACCCCCTTTCTTGTTGCCTAACATTCACTTTAAAAAAATACTTCAAAATATATATGTGTTGGTATATAAATAGAGCATGTCAAGAGGAATCAACAATGACACATCCAGCTGATGTTAATGCTTGGAAGTAATTTGACCATGCACATCCAACTTTTGCACAAGACTCACGAAATGTCAGGCTTGGACTTTGCAAAGATAGTTTTAATCCATTCAATAATATAGGTAACCCATACTCCTATTGGCCAATTTTCGCCACACCATACAATCTTTCACCAAGTGTGTGTATGAAAAAGGAATACATATTTCCTAGTCTTGTGATTTTTGGACCAAAATCTCCTACTAAAAGTGTAGATGTCCATCTTAGGCCTCTAATTGACGAGTTAGAGATTTTATAGGACATTGGGGTTAACACTTGTGATGCTTGGAAGAAGCAAAGTTTTGTTATGAAAACAATATTGTTATGCACAGTAAGTGATTTTTCGGCTTATGGAATGTTGCTTGGGTGGAGTACTCATGCCAAATTTGCTTGCCCTTATTTTATGATAATGAAAAATCATTTAAACTAGATAATTGTAGGAAACCTTGTTGGTTGGATTGTCATTGACAATTTTTGCCTATTGATCATCAATTTCGATGTGATTGATGCTCTTTTAAGAAGTCAGTAGTGGAAAAGTCTTTGCCTCCACA